GCTCCAGGTTAGTTCATTCTGGACCCTGGAGCCCAGTACTTCCCTTGAGCCTTGAGCATCTGAATAAAATAGTCAGCTTCTCAGAAAAGGTGTCTTCTGCTTTAGCATTCTGTCCTGGGTGGACAGGCACTCCAGAAGTCTCCATAGGGAAGGAGTCCACGGCCAGATACAGCCCACGGGCATAGCTTAGCTGGTTCTTGATATTCCAAAACAGTGGTTTTCAACCTGTGGGTCGCAACCCTTTGGGGGTCAAATAACCCTTTCACAGGGGTCACCCAAGACCATCGGAAAACACAGATAATTCATATTACAATTCATAACAGTAGCAAGATTACAATTATGAAGTAGCAATGAAAATAATCTTAGGTTGGATGTCACCACAACATGAGGGACTGTATTAAAGAGGCACAGCATTAGGAAGGTTGAGAAGCATTATTCTAAAACAAGAGAAATTAATGATCAGCATTTTTCTTTTCTAAGACAGGGTTCCCATGTATCCCAGGCTGATCTCAAATTTGTTAAACGGTCAAGAATGACCATGAAATACGGATCCTCCATCTCCACCTCCTTAGTTCTGTAATTATAGACCTCCACACTCAGTTTGTGTGGTACTGGAGCACAAACCCAAGGCTTTCAGGCATGCTGGGCACATACTGAGCAATATCCCTAGCCTATGACCAGCGTTCTTACATCAAAACAGATCGTATGGCTGTTGAGTTGGCTCAGTAGGTAAAGGTGTGTCACCAAGTCAAATGACCTGAATCCAGTGAGACCCACATGGCAGGAGAAGACAGCCAATGCCCTTAAGTTGTCCTCTGACCACCACATAGGCACACATAAGCTCACAGGTATATGTGCAAATTTTTTTGTAATGTTTATGTGAAAGATCTGAGTTTCTGGGTTCTTCTAAAAAAAGGTCAACCTGGCCACTCCACGTCTGAGCTGTTGGCCATTCCCCCTCTAAAGGGGAGGGGAGAGCCCTGCTTTACCCGTGTCCCCAGCACTTCAAACAACCCTTTACCCCTGGAGACTTCAGAGTACTCTTGAGGGGCCTGGGTGCTCTGACCTTGGGGCAGAACTTAGGGTATGACCAGGCTATAGGAGGCACTTGGACACGATGACAAAGGGTCCCTCAAACATTTCCTCTGGCCTCACAGCTTCTGCCTCTGTGAGCCTGAGCCCTGAGATCCGCGGGAGCCCCCTAGCCAGGCTGCACATAAACCACAAAGCCTGGAGCAGGAATGTACAGGCTCTCGGGAAAGAGGAGTGTTCACGCACCCTCTTTCCTCCCTGCAGCTGTCACCAGATTGCTGTCTGTGACTGGGGCCCAGGGTGGACCAAAGGCATGTGTCACTTCCCTGGACCAAGGCTATAATGCCAACATTGTGCTGGGTGGAACAAGAGAGGTTTTCATCCAGCAGGCAGCACCGAGCAGACACTCAAGTAAAAGGCTTGGGGATCACCCTGAGCAAAGAACGTGGGAGAGGCAAATATGTGGTGCACACAGGAGCCTGGAGAGCCCAGGGCATTCCACAAGACACCTTGCAATTGCATTTCCTTCTGAAAATAGATACCAATAAGACAATCCCTGAGGGATAACAGACCTGGACTCAGCATTAGCAACAGTGGGTGACAGCAGGCCTTGCAGGTGCCATGAGTTTACTGAATGACTCTTGTCACAAATCTTTCTCACCACTTACTAGAGGCAGAGTGCTGAGCTGGGATCTGGGGAATCTCAGAGTAAGGCACAGCACCCACCCGCACAGTGATCTGGAGCCAAGGATGGGTAAGTAAGCAAGAAATTATAATTGATGACCCAGTGGAAGAACTGAGATTCATACAGCAGCAACTCCAACCCCAGATCTGATCCCCCTGGGTCCAGTTTCATATACTTCCTGGAGTCCCCCGAGAGTCTACAAGCTCAGCAGAGAAGGTATCTGAATGCTGTAACAAAGAAATCGAATGCTCCACTGGTGGCAAAGGAGAATGAGAAATTTTTTTGAAGGGGGAAATAGCATAGTCTGATTAGGGTCATGAAAAGGTCACTCTGGCAAGCGCAGAGGAAGCTGACCCGGGATGCAAGATGACAGGTTAGAAGGTGACAGTATTTCTCCCCCTGATACAAGAGCCCTTCAGACTCCAAATTTTTCGTTCCCAGGGTTTCCTGTTCTACCTGATAAGCAAAGAGGGAGTCTGGGGACTGTCATTTGTTTTCACAAGACCAGGAGCAGACGGGAGCTGAACATTTTCTTCCTGGTATTGTTCCCTGGAGCAGAATTCGATATCTTTTTACAAAGCTGGACTTCTCTGTGTGTGGAATTCTCTCGACAAGCACCAGGTGAACCCGGGAAACTCGGCAGCAAGCAAGAAGATCCGAGGCAAGTCTTCATAATGTCTGCCAGAGTCCCATATGGAGAAACAGAAGAGGGAACTAAACACTAGACATCAACAGTCCCCTTCACATCCTTGTCCTCCTACCTAGCACCTGATACCCCGTGATCTAGCCAATGCAAACCACGTTGCCGACAGTCCTGCCGTGTTCTGCCTCCGTGTCTTTGCGCTCACTGTTTTCTTTGCCTGTAATGCTATCTTCTCGCTACACATTCGGATCAACTGACTCCCAAGCACACTCCTGTCCTCTAGTGCTGTCTCCATGGTCAGTAAGAAGCCATTGCTTTGTCTTCATGGACTCCAAAGCCCTTGATCTCTCTCGTGTATTTTTTACAGTATAATATGTGTTAAAGTTACCCCCTCTTCTGGTTCATAGATTCCTTGAAGATGGGGCTCACTCCTACTTAACATCTGTCCTCTCAACACCAACTTACACAGATCCCAGTCAATGCTGCCCAAGGGAACTGATGAACAGCGGGAACCATTTTCTTGTCCCTTCTTAAAGAGAAAGTGTAGAAAACCAAGTAATGATTCTTTTGTGTCCATACACAGATATCTTCGTCATGCATCTCATTGGCTCATTCTGACAGCAACCAAGTGGCAGCCCACTTGGCCAACAGTTCCGGCAGACAAAGTTACAGGCTAAGCTAGAGCCACTGCACCTCCTACAAACTTCATTCATTCTCAGAGCCGTGCATAGATTGTGTTCACTCTCATTTTTATGCATTTCCTAGGTCATAGTTCAGTTAATCTTACTACATAGGTCACTCCCATAAAAACATTCAAATTCTTATGAAATCTTTGCTCCAACTATCAGAATAAAACTTCGAAATCCTTTAAAGTTTTTAAAAATTCTATTTTTGAAAAATGTCTACAAAACCCTCCATTTATTTGGCAATAGTAATACTTTATACTGTTGTTTGAAAGTTATTTCATCAGGGGACATGGTAGCCTGGCACTGTACCCCCAACCTCTGGAGCAAGAGGCAAGAGATTAATGACTTGGGGCCAACCTGAGCTTCTTAGGAAGAAACCTGTCTCAAAGAGAAAAAGAAGGGAGGGAGGGAAGGAGGGAAGACGGGAAGGAGGGAAGAAAGAAGGGAGGAAAAGAGGGAGGGAGGGGACAAAAACTTGGAGTGGTGCTCCAAGGTCAAGTGCTTGCCTTGCCTTGAGAAAAGTCCTGGGTTCGATGCCCTGTGCTGCAACACACTGAAAACTAGTGAGTTAGCCTGGGAACTTAGAATATGCAGATGACTTCCAAGTTCCAAAGTTCAAGCAGTGAACTTAGGATGCTAAATCCACTTGCCATTGTTGGTTAGCTGAATTGAAAATGACCTTTTCAAATTGGAAAAGTGGGCAGGAACAAAGAGGAGCTTGGATACTAACAATGGCTCACATTTTCATAGCTATTTACGGCGTATAAACTGGGTCTGTATCATCATTTCATTGCCCTGCCAACAGCACTGGGAGGTCAGTTTGAGGTCTCTCTGGGCACAGATGGGCAGGCAGGCCTCGCAGATGGGACATAGCACACAGTACCTTGGTAGAAGGAAAAAAAACTCAGAAAACATTTTTTTAAAAAAAAAAACACATCAAGTTCTGTCTGAGCAATCTACACACACATGTACTAAAGAAACTACTGGGGTCGTTTTGCAAAGGTCGTTAATTTCAACCTGCAGGTAAAACCAACAGAGAAAATACTTTGAGCTGAAGAAAATGTAAGATGGCCATTCTTGCTTCGGTGTCTTTACAGGAGAGTCTCAAGTACGTCAGATATGCCATAAAGTAACTGCACAGTCAAATCAGAGGCACAGCTGGGGAAGCGTGTCCAAGCATTGGGCTTGACCGCACTTACTGACTCTGTGACCTCTGGTCTCTCCGCAGTTATATACTACCAGAAATAAGAGTTGATACGCTCATACAGCTTCACACTAAATCTCTTGGCTGGGCTGTAGCAATTCATTTTCTGCATCCCGTAATTATCTTCAGAGGCATGCACTGTATTTTATTTTCGGTGTTAAAACTCTTCGCTTCTGCAATGTCTATCACGCTGGCTTGATATCTCTTCACATTTTAGTACATTAGGAACTCGGAAAGTTGAAAGTGGGCCCCATCTACCACCTGTCGTTTTCGCAATTTTCTGTTTCTCCTTTTCCTGGGAGATTTTCTTTCTGAAGATCTTTGTTTATTGTTTCTCACTCCTCTCTCGCTCCTTTGTTGTCTTTTTACCGGCCTGGCTATCTAGGCTGGAAGGGACTCAGAAAAGAACTTCTGGAAGTGGAGATAAACTCAAAGCCAAAAAGGTGGGCCTAAGCAGTCCTAATGCAGTCCCCAAAGACACAGCCTGACTGGGAAGTGAAGTGGTTAGCTTCCCTGACTTTAGCGGAGGGCAAGCAAAACTGAGTGGTCCAGGCAGGTCGGTAACCCGGGCACGGCACCAAAGTGTGTGGGCAGTGAGGCTGTCCCTGCTAGCCCAACAGGAGGGCGCCGGAAAGCAGGGCGTGGCGCTGGCCAGTGCCGGACCGGGACACCGGCGGCGTAGGGGGCGAGGCGTGCTCGGGTCTATTCCGGGAGCGCGCAGGGCGGGGCGGGGGCGTCCTGCGAGCATCCTGTCTGGGGGAGGGGACGAGCCAGCCGCTGGGGCAGCCCCAAGAGCGCACGCCGCCCGTGCGGCAGCTGCTGCGCCCTGGGCTGGGCTCCCCGGGATCCCCGCCGGCGCCATGGACCGAGGCCGGGGTAAGTGGCACCACTGCGGTGGCCCGGAAGGGAGACCTGGGAGATCCGAGAGCAGAGAGGAGCTGAGATAGACGGGGAGAAGCGGCGGTGGGTCTTGGCGGGACCGGCACTGGACCCTTGGGCACAGGTGCCTCCTGCAGCAGGAACAATCTCGTGTGTGTCGTGGCCTAGGTCTGAGTCCCCTCGTGGGTGGAAAATTGGCGTGTTTAAACATGCTATTTCCTAACTTTATGAAAGACTCTTGAGGTCAGCCAACTACCCCCTCCTGGCCACACGGAGGGAGAGGGTTGAATACGGGGTACAGGTTATAGTCCTAGAACAGCCACACTTGTGGCTCCTACTGTGCGCCCTAGGAGAAGTCCCAGGACACCGAAGTTTTCGGCTGCTTTGGGAGAAAAAAGGGCTGCCTGAGCACGCTTCCGCGTCTGCCTGTGTTTGTTTGGTGGAGGTTTTAGAGTCCTGCAGACTACTGCAGCTGGGACTACCCCGGGGGCAAAGATAAAGGCTTCTCGGGACCTTGGGGTGGTTAGAGCGCGCGCGACTTAATAAAGGTTAGGACACTGCAGCGGGCGTGTGCCTACTTGTGCACGGGAGTAGTGTCAAATGCCTGGGTTCAGGCGGCACCTCTGGAATCCAGAGATCACAGGTGTGAAGGCACTTGGCAAACAGAGTGTTGTGTCTTTACCAGGAGCAGTTTCTATTGTTGTTGCTGTTAATGGAAAATTCCTCTCCCTTCCGACAATCAACTTAACAACCCTCCCCCTTGCTTGCTCTGATGCGGCCCCAGGGGCAAAAGGGAGGGTTTGGGCTGGGAGGAGCGCTTGAGCAGGTGTGTAAGTTCAGAGGGCCTTAGAGGACCCTCCACCCCGTCCTCTTCACCACCCTTCTCCAGCACAAAATCCGCCTTCTCCTTCAGGGTCTCAGGAGAGCAGGCTGAGGCATGATTTGAAGGCAGTTTTCACCTGTTAACTGACTTCTGATCGAGGGTACACCCACACACCAGGGCAGAAAAGCAGACTAGGCACTTCCCATTCCTTCTGCTTTCCCCCAATGCTCCAGCCTCACATCTAAAGCCAGGGTCATCCTCATATGTTGCATACCGTCCTGTCTGGTTCCCTGTACCAATCAATGGGGCCACTTCAAAATGCAGTCTCCAGACGTCTAGCAAAGAGGTGGAACCTCCCTGAGCATTCAAGGACTCTGACCTTTTCTACCTTTTTTTCTTCTCCTGCATAACTCTTCTCACAGGGTCCTGTTAGTTTTGTAGTGTTAGCTTCCTGAATCTTGCTCCCTTCACCGGAAGTGAGTTTCCAGAAGCCAGGAAGCAGAGCTTGTGAGACAGTGTCTGGCACATGATAGGAACAGACCAATGTGATTTATCAAGTGAGATGAAGCATGCTTCTTATGCATCTCAAGCTAATTCATCAGAATGTCTATTTTTTGTTTGTTTTGTTTTGATTTGTTTTTCGAGACAGGGTTTCTCTGTGTATTTCTGGCAGTCCTGGAACTCACTCTGTAGACCAGGCTGGCCTCAAACTCACAGAGATCCACCTCCCTCTGTCTCTGCTTACCCCTGAATGCTAGGATTAAAGGTGTGCACCACCACCGTCTGACCAAAAGAATCCTGCAAAATTCTCACAACAGCACTGCTCTGTGACCTACTAAAGGCCATGCCGACCCTTGAGTAAAGCGGTATGTGACCAGAGTACACACAACCAAGTCACCCTTGTTTTCTCCCTTGAGAAACAGTTTCAAATACTGTGCTAAAAGCAAACGGGGATTAGAGTTGTGTGAATTCGAGTGCAAAATGCGTCTTTAAGATAAAGTATAAGACTTCAGAAATTATGTTAGCCGACTGTGGCGGCTGGCCTTATCAATTTGACACATTCTAGAATGACCTGAGCCTCTCAGTGAGGGATTGTCTGGATTAGGTTGGCCTATGAACACCTATGCACATGCCTTGGGGGGAGGGGGATGGAGATTCCCTTGGTTCTGTAAACTGATGTGGGAAGACCCAGCCTAACAGTGGGCAGCAGCACTCCCTAGATGTGTGTTGTGTGGACTGTTTAGAAAGGCAGCGGGCGAGCTGAGCACCACAAAGCATGCCTCCTCTCTCTGCCCGTGCCTGTGGAGGTGACTTGCTGCTCTAAATTCCTGCTGCCCTGGCTTCCCTGCAATAACAGACTGTCACCTGGAATCGGGAGATGAAACAAGTCCCCTCTCCCCTAAATTGCTTTCGCCGGCGTATTTTGCCATAGCACAACAGGAAGCAAAAGTTAGACATAGCCTTCCTTGTTGTGCCCCCCATACACATCCTTAGGTAAATGCACATCCCACCACCACCACCACCACATCAAGGAAAGTTTTTAAAAGGCAGGTCTCATTTTAGCCTCTCCCACCATCTCAGGGTAGGGTGATCTTGGGCAGGCTAGGGTCGCCTTGGGCAAGAATACCAACCAGTGTTTGCAGCTACAGCAGTTGAAATCACCACTGGCCCTAGGCTCCCTGTTCGGTCTTTCGCCTTGTGTGCTCTCTGAACAGTTCATGGGTCAGAGGCTGTCCCCTCTCAGGAAAGCTGGCTGTGACACAGTTCCAAACACCGGGTCTCTTTAATAACGGGATCTCTTTTCTCAGCTCTCCGAGCTGGTAGCCCAGGATCAAGGTCGACTTTGGACGAAGTCTTTTCCTGGCTTTCGTCTTCTCTCTGGGTTTTCACACACCTCTTCTCTTCTTAGATGCACACCAGCTCCCTCAGATTTAATGGCCGTTCTCATGACCTCATTTGACCTCAGCTACCTCCTAAAGGTTCTGGCTCCAAATGCTATCATATGGGACTTAGGGCTTCAGTATATGAATGGGTTGAAGGTAGGGGGGTGGACAGGAGATACAAGTCCATCCAGAACAGCCACTGACATTGATCTGCAGTCACTTTCTGTGTGAAACACAGAACAAGGCTTAAACACAGCCTTGATTTTAAGCATACTGCTCACTACCTCCATGGTGGCAAGGGAATAGCCAAGCCCTAAACAAGACTAGATTCCAAATCTTCTGTCTCGGTCACCCTGTGCACGTTCTCTGACACAATTATACCATCAAACCTCCACAGAGAGAATAGGAGCAAACCTGGGAAGGCGGGATTTTCTCTTCTCACAGCACAACGCCTTGGAGAAGCAAAGCAGAATTCACACAACCCCGTCATAGATGTAGAATCTTCCTTCCCTCGGGGTTCCCTGCGGTACGCCTGTCACACAAAGAGAACTGGACACCGGTGAGGTAGCACACAGCTAGGCCTCACGACTCCCACAGGACAAACTTGTGAACTTTCTGGCCCCAGATGAAGCTAAATATGGAAAGCGAGACTGCCCTTTCTTGGAGATACATGTGAACCATATGTATACAGTGTGCGAGGGGCACTCAAGTGCTTGGCGGTCCTCAGTCAGCTTACCTCCAGGGGCTCAGGTTCAGAACTCATGCCCCACCGTGTCAGATGTTCAGCTTTTTCTGTTGCCAGCACAATGGCGTGGGGAGCTGTCAAAGGAAGTGAGGGTATTTGTGAACAAGACCAACTGTGAAGGAGAGATGGGAGCTCACTTTTCCAGCTAGCGTCCCTATAGGAGAGGCAGTAGGATTGTCTTGCAGAAGCTTCTCTTAAAGGCTTGCCAAAGGCTGTGTGGGTTGCGCTTAGAGGTGCATCAATCAAAGAAATGCTCAAAGCTGGAAGCTGGGTGTGGTTAGGGATGCTTGGCATCCCAGACTCAGGAAACCGAGGCAGGAAGAGGACTACAAACAGAAACGCGGTAAAGAAATGAAAAAGAGATAAAGCAGGTGTTGCTTGGGCACACCGTGAGGCAGAGGTCAAACAGTCTTCACCCAGTACACCTGATGTTCCAGAGGATTCCAGTAACACCTTCCCACACACTGTAGAGAACAGGGCTTCCAGGTTGCATGCAGCAGCGTGGCATTTTTGGGATTGATGGACTAGTGTGTGAAGATGGAGTCAGGGGAGAAGAGGGTGTGATGTAGTTCAGGGCAGTTTAAAACCAGTGAGCATGTGGGGTGACCCGGTGGGTAGAGACATTGCCACCAAGCCCGAGTACCTGAGTTTGATCCTCAGAACTCATACAGTGGAAGGAGAGAATTGACTCACAGGTTGCTCTCCGGCCTTGGCATGTATGGTGTGGTTCGTGACCCCCTCCAACCGTATGTGCTTCTCTCTCTCTCTCTCTCTCTCTCTCTCTCTCTCTCTCACACACACACACACACACACACACACACACACACACACACACACACACACACAGTGAAAGGTAAAGAGAGTACGGAGGAGTAAGCAGACCTCAACCTCTCTCTGGTTTCCCACTCTACGCCGCCATCTTGTAGTGCCCCCTCCCCCACCCCCCCTCCCGCACAGCCACTACCACCACCACCAGGCCTTTGTTATCCTGCTCCGTTCCTGCTAACAGCTCACTTCCTCCTGCTGCTGATGGTTTTACTCCTTCCAGCTTTGAGTACTCTGTTCCTTCCCTGCCTCACTCCAGCCGCCCCTAGTCACTGTGCAAACTTTTCTTCCCCAGGGAAGTGTTTCCCAGTTCCCAGCTGCCTCTGCTCGCCACTGCTCAGAGCACCCTGTGCTGCTGGTGGTCATTTCCACAGCTGCAGTTAATGCAGCATGTCTTGTACTGTTGGTAGGAGCTCTTTGAGGACAAGCATTTCCTAGCTTGTTCGCAGCCTCCTCCTCAGTTCCTCCTGCCATGTTCGGCACTTAGGAAATGTCTATCAAGATGGTGAAGAAATGAAAGGGAGCGGATCCAGTTCTGAGTAGACCCTGAATGCGGTCATTTTCCACACCAGGATTTGCCGTTTCGGTGATCGTGATTTGAGGGACAGAAGTATGGGCTTTATCACGACACATTGCTTCCTCTGTGCCGTCAGATCCCAGATCCTGTTGACTGTTATTGGGAAATGTTATTGGGTGGCTGCTTCTCCTATATCCTGTTCCC